AAAGGGAAGTGCAAGAAGAAACCGTCGGGAACCTGACCACATTTTCCCCCCTCATATTATCTATGTGGTATACACAGAGTTGCAGAGCATGTGTCGAATGGTTAGTTAGTTGCTATGGCAACAGACACCAAGACAGCTACTGCATGATTTTGCTGATATATTTCCCCTGTCTCACAGGGTTGACTGTGTCTGGACCCAGGTCTGCTATTAAAACCTTTAAAGCCGTCACATTAGATTCAGACTGCTGTGGAAATCAGTGTTTTTAGTATAAAGACCTTCATCTGGATATATTTTTGATTATCTATTATGTATTTTAAGTAGCCTACTTTAACTTAAAGTTGATTAAACCCTCAGACTTCAAAATGTTAAGATGCACTACAGAGCCCCCTAGGGGTCCAACTTATGAACTTACTCACTAAAGAGACTACAGTATACATATCAAAATCACACAAATGTGTGATGGAGTGTTGAAAAACTGTTATCAGTTATCTAGCCAATTGCTTTATATGTATTTCCTCCCTCTGAGCATTTTACTGCGAGATCCTCCTCCACAGACATTTGACTAATTACTGTGGTAGCGCCGCTGCCTTTGAGTAACTAAACAGGCTAACATGGAGGCGTACGCCTTTGAATATGTGGATATCAGTTTGATAAGCACAAAAAAGCCAGCATTGGTGAAATGTTTCATACATATCAGCCATTCTGATATTACAATGCACATTATAAGAAATGATTTTAGATATGTACTCTATTGATAGTTTAAGTTAGAAGACTGACTCGAGTAATACAGGTAAAGCACTCCTCAAAATTTATCTCAACGGTTTCAAAGTTATTTTCAGCAGCTTGCAGTTGTGTGTTTGAGCGTTACACTACTCAGCGTGTGTTTCCAAGCCCACCCACATGCGTTTGCCTCTGCGTTTTCCCCGTGATTGCTGTCTCATACATTGTTTCAAGCAGCTTGTCTGATTCCTGCTGGTTATCTGTCCTCCCACCCCATCGGTCAGTTCACTCTGTAACCTATATCACATAGATTAATGCCTAATACAACCTGAACACACACTGGGTGAGGTGGAGGTGGAATGACTGCTTCTTCTTTCTTGCAGCTTCCACACCCAACGCTGCCCTTTATTATAATTATAATATATAGTGACATATCTTCAGCTGATATTTTATTAGGTATTTACAAGTCAGAAGAGGTGGCAATAAAATAAAAATCATTGGAAGCATCATTCTCAATGCTGAATTTTCCAGTGTCACTGCCTCTCATCCATGCATGAGTGAAGTCTTAGTGTGAAGGGGAAATTTTATCATGAGCTGAGACTGATGATAAGGTTACTTGCAAACACCCAGACAGATGGACTGACTTTTTGTTTATATGGGGTGTGTGTGCGCGTGATAGTGTGCATAAATGTGGGTGTTTGAAAGGGCTGGCATCTTTCAAATGGAGGCATGACAGTACTGGATATAGGGCAAGAATGGGGGTGAAATGATGTGTGGAGGAAATGGATGATGAGAAGTTATTTTTTCTGCCTCTCTTTGTCTTTTTCATTCTTAATCTCTTCCTCTAACCTCCAACTCTCTCTCTCTCTTTTTCTGACCAGTTTAGCTGCATGTTGCATGGGTGACACTGCTTATTATGGCCTCAATGTCATGTCACCATGGATTAGAGCAGCTCTAGTCCACAGTGCACATAAATGGGGGAAGGTTCATATGCTTAAATATGACCAAATGCTGAAATATATTTGGCATCTTTGTGTTCAATGTTGATGTATATGTACAAGGTATATTGTGCTCATTAAGGCTGCATTCATTTATTTGTGAAATATTAAATATTATCAAATTATTAAAATAGCTGTTTTCTATTTTAATATATTTTAAAATGTTATTTATTCTTGTAATGGCAAAGCAGAATTTTCAGCAACCATTTATCCAGTCTTCAGTGTCACACAATCCTTCAGAAATCATTCTAATAGTTTTTGCTGGCTTATATTTTGATGGTAATTTTTAATTTTAATATTTATTTTTTCAAGAAATTAATACTTTTATTCAGCAAAGATGTATTAAATTAATCAAAAGTGAAAAACATTTAAGACATTTACTTATAATGTTCCAAAAGATTCTATTATAAATAAATGCTGTTCTTTTGAGCTTTCTATTTATCAAAGAATCCTGAAAAAAAAAAGTGTCATAGTTTCCACAAAAATGTTAGGCAGCAAAATTGTTTTCAACATAGATAAGAATCATTTATAATAACTGAACACCAACAATAATTCATAATAACTGAGCACCATTTCAGTAAATTTTTCGGTGAAGTCTAATATCTTGCTCTGTAAAGCATATGCAATGCCTTGTGTACTGTTTTCTTCAAAAGCAAAGCCTGAAAGACAAACACACTAGCCTGTGATATAGCTATAGGCTAAATCATACTATATCATGTGAACTTCTCTCAGTGTGTCACGCTTAGGTCCATGCCGTGAGAAATGGCCATTAGTCCTGCAGCCAATCTCCTTGCCCACTGCATGCCCTTTCTACTTATATATGTGCAGATTCACGGTGGCTCCAGGAGGAGAAGAGAGGATAGAGCAGTAACGTGTTAATGTGAGGACGACCCACTTGATAAACAGCCATGAGCATGAAAAATGACATTGAAGAGTGCTAGAAGACACAGAGAGAGAAAGCGAGAGCATGTATGTGTGCCATGCTAAAGCTTAAACGGATCAAATTAGTTACTAATTTTTACTTCTCAGTAATGCATCTACTTGTCAATCTCATCTTAATTCTACAAAAATATACATGGCATCCATACATTGTTTGTATTGCCTGCAAAGACGTATTCAACCCCACTGTTTTCAGAGATTTTTGTGTTTAGCACATTCAAATCTAATTTATATAAGCAATAATTGCTTGTGAGGTGAATTACAGCCACACTGATTGATAGAAGTTACTGTTACCTGAGCTCGAATGATTGAAAGTGGGTTATGGTTATCTTCACCTTTCTTTAGAAAAACACATTGTCATTTTTTCATCATGAAATATTAAATGTTCCATTTATCACTTCAGTGAGCTCAATTTTTATATTTGCAATTTAACCCTGAAACACATTCCAGCCTGGGATCTTGTTATAGCAACTGCAGTATGGAGCATGGGCCGAGGGGGATGAAACTGGGACATGGCGGTTGGGGAGACGTAAGAGAGGAAGATTAAGGTGTTGCTTGTGGTCTGTGCTGAAGGGAGGGGAGGAAACAGAATGTTTCCAAAATTCAATCAGATCTGTGAGCACTATTAGTAGATTCATTGCCATTATATATTCAGCAATGAAAGCAGTCAGGTCTTTCATCAGAGACTGCACTCTGGGGTTTAGAGAATATGGCCTGTGATGTACACTTCAGAAAAGTATGGCTTGCAGTGTTGTGGTACAGAGGTACAAACTAGGGACAGGTGTATTAAATGTCTTGCAAACTGATACACATACACACACATACAGTATGCAAATGAGGGCACAAATAGTGTAAAAAGGAAAAAGGAAAAATAAACAGTCCAGACTGGTCTCAGGAGGTTGTTCAAAGCTGTGTAATGCAAAATGTTAATGAAATTGTAATTATTTCAATTAATTGTTTCATCATAGATATGGAAATCTAGAGATAAAGACACATGGCTATATGTTCAGCTCATCAAATCAGGTCAGGTTTCATGTCATTTGCTTAGTGAAGGTGAGAGGGACCTGTCCATGGTCCTGAAGGCAATGCAACCTCTCAGATGTGAACATCATGTTGGAAGTCCTGTGTGGTAGTCCAGGGTCATAGCAAGTGGAGTAAATGGTGGGAATGACTCAAGCACCCACAGATCTAAAGGTAATCGGCCCAGAATTCCTAGCTACATCCCTCTTCACATATACCACAGTAACGCCATGGAGATATGCTCTATATTTAGCTTATACGGATGGTAAAACTTGTGTAATTTAGCACTTTTTGTACGATTATAAAATATTAATTCATTTATGATCGCCTGTTCTCATTGAGTCATCACATTTCAAAAGGGGAAAATGAACAGAACATATATATCAGACAAAGAAACCCCTTTTATATTTTTCTATCTTAGACTTATAAAGTCCATTTTCAAGAACCAGGGAAATGAAACCTTTCTTTCAATGCAAAGATGCCTTGAACACAGCTATTCCACAGTTATTCCATAAGCCTGGCACAATCTTTTATTATTATTATTATTATTATTTATTTAAATTGCACTGAAGAAATTTTGTTTTAAAATATTATTGATATTAAAAACAACAACAACTGCTGTCAGCCAAATCAAAGTCAGTGTGGCATAACCAACATGCAGGAAGCCATTTTGTTGTCATATGACTAGATAAAACAAAACAGATAACTCTCCTTTAGACCCTCATGACTGTGTGGTAGGATCAACTTAATGACTTCAATAATTACCTTGAAATACATATTTGAAAACATTTTAGAAAATGTGTTCAAGTATTCAAACCTGTAGTCAAGATGCAAGGACAATTTCCCCCCATGATGGTTACACCACCTATTTATTTTTAGCACTATATATATATTTGTATTATTATTTTGATCATGTCATTAAATCAAAATGTGTTTAGAAAACGTTTTTTTTTTCCCCAAAAAAACATCTGCAATCAAAACAAACACAAAACTTGGGGAAATGGCACGTGTGTTTTGAAGTAGTTCTTAAAAATGATTTCTAATTTCAATCACCTCCGTGCTCTTACTATCGTTCGTCGCCGGTTACGGTGTATGTGTGCAGTGCTCCTGTAACTGAAGGTAACTCATAAGAAGGCGAGCGAGCGAGAGAGAGAGAGAGAGAGAGAGAGAGAGAGAGAGAGAGAGAGAGAGA